AAGAGCTATGGCTTAATCTGTACTCAAAAAGATTAACACCTTGATCAAATTTGAAATCCAAAGTTTGAATTATATATTTCTAACCAAAGACCTTTATCGTGTAAAACTCGCTCAAACATACAGAGACTTTTTCGGAAATTACTGTAGGTGGTAAGCAAAGTATTTTTATTCCCTGTTTTTCATGTAAATACTCATAACAGGTCTTTCATACTGTCTCCTGCTGATGATATCATTCTTAACGCTACGACAAATCATAAGGTTAGTGACTTTTATGGTTTTAACACTCTTGACATTCTCAAACGTCGGATATCTCTAGAACCTTCCTAAGGCCTTGGATTTCATGGGGTACTACCTGCTGTTGTCCTCTTACAAGCACTCTTTTCCAGTTATACTGTACTGGTAGCAGAGGAAGACATTGCAATTACCCCGGCACCCAAATCATGTACTGGCAAGAACGTTAAATTTAAACCTACTGGAATTATTTCTTCTTTTTGAAATGAATAGAGAAATTACATTTACTCAAACTTGAAAATGTTTAATGGCCTCAAACAATTTACAGATAAACAGAGCAGAAGTACTACAGATGCTGCTGATTTCTTACATCATAATATTATATATATTATTAGACAAAGGAGCCAGATGCCTTAAATGTACGTTCCTTGACTAGACATCCACTACTGAAAAAGGATTATACCATCCTGAGAAGCATGTTAAAGGTAGTTAGTAGGACTAATGGTGTAAAACTCAGTCAGCTCGTCACTACATTAGTAGAAAGGCACCTAAATACATGTGGAAAATGGTCTAAAACCATACTATCCGCCCCCCAGCACCCTCTCTCTTCCCAACTCTCTCCTTGTATCTCATCAGGTAGAACCAGAAATCAGTACAAAATAATATATGCTCGTACAACCAAGTATAGGACCTCAACGATACCATATTTGGCCCGTGTTCTAAGTGACAGAGACAATGTTAAGCGCGAAACCTATGAATTGCTTTGTTGTTAATAACATAATTTTAGGCTCTTTTATTTCTCTCTTATTTGTATTCTATGATGAACACCTTCTTAAACTTACTTAGCTACCTAAATTATTAACATTGACTTGCTGTTTTTGTACTTTACTTTATTCCTACTTTTGTGTGTCTACTGGTTCCGACAATATTAGCACTGAGTATTACAAAAGTGTCCTGTCATTAACCTTCATGTAATATTAGTTTTGTGGTTGTTTTTTGTTCGGCAATATTAACTGACAATCTTGGTTGTGAACGCCATTATCACCATCTTAAAATTTTTGTATTTACGCAAGATTACTCAAACTACCACTACAAACACCCCATTAGTGCTGACAATAAAAATAAAAACCCTAAAATGTTATTTTATGATTGTTTAGTGTTGTTCAATCAAATTAATTGATCATCTTGGCTATAAACATTCTTAATATCATTTTCATAACTTCTTGTATGACCCGACCGAAAGCTGCTACCTTGACGGTGGTCGGGCTTGAACACCGCAATGATCTATTCAAGCTATGCTGGCTGAGACTTATGTCTCTTGAGGTACTACCATGCCAGGCAGGTTGTTTGGATAGCGGTTAAACAAAAAGCAGCTACCCAATCCAACATCATGTCCAATACAAAATCACAAAATTTCATGCCGGATCGGCCATGGCCCGGATTAACAACGACCGCGCTTCCTGCTGCCGTGTCACAGGGCAGGAGTGATAAGTATGCTACTGAGGCACACCAAACAAAAATGAACGAACAAAAACAGGCCGCGTGTGACCGGCCTCAAGCAGTTGTCCCCTGGGCTCTGCGGTCACGCAACCAACTTCCACGGTGTGGGCAGCCGGGAAGTAACAATCGCCCTCACAATCCGAAACGCACGCGAAACCTCTCTGTATGATTATAGCCTTTACTGTTCACCACGCATACACATATCATAGCTTCCACTACCCGATACTGAGATATTATTTTATGTTGCTTATTTTCCTTTCTACTTCTTGGAATTTTTTCGCATTTTTTAAAAATTATTTTTGTGTTTTTTTTGTCTTTATATTTTTTATTTGTTTTCTGAAATACTCCCTTTAAATGTTTGATAAAATTAGATGCAATATTGTAGATATGTGCTGAAAATTCCACACTGTACCACTAGAGTACTGTTTCTGAAATAAAGCAAAATTATTATTATTACTTTGAACTCTCTACCAACATGCCTTCTGTTAGATAAACTCTCCCTGACACAAACTGAGTCCTGGGCTAATAACTAGTTGTCTTCCTATTTCCCGAACAGAATGCAGTTTACCGTATATAAAAACAAATCTTGCTTACTGAAGCTTACCTGCTCTCTCTCCTCTTTTTTTATTCTTACATGACTTGCCTTTTTCGGAAGAAATCCACTTCGTTAAATAAGCTGATAACCTGACTGCCTCGTTGCCAATTACTTCTCGATCTGACTGTTTCGAAATTAGTAGCTTTCTGTCAGACATAAGCCAGTGGCCTAAGCTAAAGAGTCTAACCTTTTTTAATTCCTTCACGTTCCCGGTGGAACATAGGACTTCAAGTTTCTGTAGCGCTGTTCATTTTCACAGGAAGGGGTTGCTAGCCTCATGACCAACCTTTGCTCTTTACCTGCTCTAATACTGGCTTAGCTAAGTAAAGGAGTGCGTCACCCGGGGATCGAACCTCGGACCATGTGCATGTTCGGTGAGCATCCTAACCGCTGTGCCACCGACGCACAGTCGCACCTTAAATTCCCATAAATGTTGGCAGTTAACTTCACCTTCCGCTATAAATTTGATCTACACGAACTGGTCTATACACAAGATGCTTGTAGCATAGCGAGGACTCCATATCTTGTCGATTTCTAAAATGCTTCGTCTAACCTACTACATTAAGAAATTTAGACTATCAGCAATCAATTAACTTCTACTTTTACAATTTGCTAACTCTTAAATCTTACCTATTGTTCTTTACTCCCCGCCCCCTTTAGTCTTTCCTAGGCTACTCAAAACGCACTGCGTCATATATATTGCGAAGCGTATTCAAGGTTATCAGTAAGGCAATTGGTGTACCACTAAGTCAGCTCGTTAATATTGTAGTCGACAGACACCCGAACTCATGTGACAAATGGTCTAAATCTATATTGTTTGACTCTCAGCACCCTCTCTCATCATAATACTCTCCTCGCATCTCACCAGGTAGAACTAGAAGTCACTACAAAAGATTATGTGGTCACACAACCAAAGATACCCTATTTAGCCCGCGTTCTATGTGATACTGATGGTTTTAAGCATGAGACTTATGACTTATTATGTAATCAGCAAAATCATTGGCTCTTTTATCTTCTCCTATTTGTAATTTATGGTGACACTAATTCAATTACCTTATAATTTTAGCTATTAACATTATCTTACCATCATTTTACATTTTTTGTACATTTTTTCACTCTATTGTCTTTGCTAATCCTAAAAAGCTGCTATTATGAATTTCCGTTACTTATATATCCTGTTACAAAATTTGTTTTCTTTTTAACTGTTGTCGAGTAAAATTAGACGCCATATTGTACTCAAATGCTGAGAATTCCGCTCCATATCACAAATACTGTTTTGGAATAAAGTAAATAATCATAGCTATTATTATTATTATCATAACCAGTAGAGTGCAGCAGGTTGAAGATGAGGCAGTAACTCATCGAAGAAAACACTGCGAAGTGGTCACACTGTAACAACAGAAGACAAAAGCCAGACAACAGATCGTTTATTAAAGAAATCAACACGTATTTAAATATTTTCATGTACATAATTATAGCTTATTCAAGCAAACAAACAAACAAACTCTTCTGATTGGTTGTTTCTCACAGAAAGTTAACCTTACATCTCTTTGTGACTGTTTCTTGAAAGTCAGATCATTTATGTGTTAACTGTATCTGTCTACGCAAAGTCTGCTGAGATTGGTTGTTGAATCAGTCTTGTTCATATTTTCTCAGAACCAGTATTGGGGACATAAACATTGACGTATATTAATGTCTACCAATTGGCTAGCAGCCTGCTCTCACCACAACAGTATGTCATGAATTGGCAAAAGTTAGAATTCATGGGCTGACCATTGGATCGGGTCCCAGTGACTTAATGGTCTACGAGCTCGCTAACTTTGTAACCAGTAGGTCCTGGGTTCGAACCCCGCACAGTGTGGGTGCGTACTTATGAAGAGTCCCAAACTAGGCTGACGAAATAGCTGTCCAATAATACCCGCAGGTTTTCCAATAGTTCTCTAACTGATGTCAGCTCATTATGAAACCCTCCAACCAATCAAACAAAATCCCTACAAAGCCAATACCTGAAAATATCAGAACTATTAATACAATTACCCCCCACCAGCCCCAAGACGTACATATATATACATCAAGACAAGACAGGGATAAATATTATTGTGTATACATAACACATTATATAATTAGTAAAAAATATACTGAAAATTATATATATAGTCAATAAATGCAATAATACTGAAAATAAAATAAAAACGAAATCACTGAAGTGTCCTCTTTCAAACAAAACAAAAGACTATTTAAGAGAGGAAAAAAGATATGAGGAGAAGGAGGATAATAGAGCAGGGGAGAAAGTCAATATTACCAGTATAGTATAAGCAACAAGCTGATAAGAATCTTTTCAACTCAATTTCCAATGAAAAGAAAGAGCTGAGTTGAAGTGTCAAAAATAGCGCCTATTAAAACAAAACAAAAAATATTACGTAAGAAATACAAAAAGAAGAGTCGATTTGTTGTATTCATAAGGAAATGTTCAGACAAGACAATACAAAAAAAGGGCGAAACGATAAAAATAAAAATATAAACTAAATGATTAATTCTACAAACTGTTGTCACATATTGTCACAGTCCCACATACCACACACGCCACACGTAAACATCTCCGCGGTGAACTCTTCTCTTTTCACACAGAGCACATCATATATATTTACAAATATTATACACACACAAATAATCTCTATGCTGAATGTGACATTGTAGTCACTTCAAAATCTGTATCAATCGAATCAAAATCTTCACCAACAGCTAATGCAACAGCATCTATCGCTTCAGCTTGTTGACGTGCAAATACTCCACGTAGATAATTAATTAAGCAACTATCAATAAATATTGGACGTAATATACTAGAATGTGAATGATGTGGACATGATAGTTTAATCAACTCTGGAATATAATGTCTATGAATTATTTCAATAGATAAACGATCACTAGGATCTTTTTGTAGACAACCATGAATAAAATGAATAAATTGGGATGAAAAACAATACAATGGTAATCTTGGTGCTGGTTGTTCTACAATGTAGGCGAATAAATCATACATACCGATTGTAGAACGACTATTTGGATCTGTAAGTGCTAAAATGTAAAAATTAACAATGATAGAGATATTAAAAAGTAGGGAAAAACGGAAAAATGTAGAAAATTATTGATTATTGTCAACTGAATTACCACTGTTTATTAACTGCACAGCCGACATCATCATCAGTAATCACAAAACATATCAGCAGCTGTTAACTCCAGAAATTATTTTCGGTCTGATTGTATGGAGGATTCCATCATGAGCTGACATCAGTTAGAGAACCACTGGAAAACCACCTGGGACTACTGCACAGCTGTTTCGTCAGCCTAGTTTGGGACTCTTCATCACTACGCACCTACCGCCTAAGTTCAAACCCAGGACCTTCTGTCTGTCTGTGTGATTTCGACATAGAACTTTGCACAAATGTGCGGAAGTTCAAGTCGCCACATTCAGTGTAGCACGCGAAGCAAGAGAAGAAAGTACAAGAAAAGCATAATAGAGACAGTGAGCAGAGGGGTGAGACAAAGGAGGAGTAATAACGAAGAACAAAACAGTTTCATTGGACCTTCTGGTTACAAGGCTAGCCAGCTCGTGGACCATTGAGCCACTGGGACCCGATCTAATGGCCAGTCCATGAATCTTAATTTCTGCCAATTCACGACATAGCACCACCATTTCGCAATGTCTTCTTCGATGAGTTGCCGCCTCATCTTCGACCTGCTGTACCCTACTGGTCATGGCTTCCCACTGGAACCCCAGATTAACTGCCTGAATGGGGCCAGTCGCTAGTGAGCATCAGATTAATTTTCAAGTATCGGTTTTATAGGGATTTTGATTTGATTGTATGGGGGATTTCATCATGAGCTGACATCAGTCTAATTCGGTCTAATTTACGCTACGCTTAGTTGGTGTGAAGACGGAGATAAGCATGACTAGTGGCAGGACATCACAACTGAACAGGCATTATTCAAATCTGTAATAGCCACATGTACACTGGTTCACTTGACAACCAGTCGAGCATGTTGTATGATGGCTGATGATACTACCAGGTTGTTTACACCTACGAATGAGATTAAACTTAATACTACACTGTGATTGAAATTTAAGTAAAGAATACTCAGTGGGTTACAGAGTAACTACGAATCCACCAGCGATGGCGCCATAAGTCACGAAATGATATAAGTTAGAATGTATGCACTATTGTAAAATCCCGGTGGTCCTAGTGGTTGGATCTTCAAGGGGGTGGTCGCCGTTTAACCTGATGCCCTAGGGTTCATCCCTTATTAGGTGTCATTTGTCTGCATGTACTGACGAAAAGTAAGAAACTAGGATGAAACAACTGTCCAGTACCCCATGGTTTTTGATTATATCTAACTAATTTCGGTTCGTGATGAAATCTACACTAAAATTAATCTAAATCCCTACGAAAACTAACAATCTAAATTTAAATATCCAGCTGAATTCATTATAATAAAGGTTGTTGTATTTCCCAATGAATGAAAAACAAAACGATATTGTTTTTACTGACGATTCGCTATTTAATGCTAATAGCTTTATCAAAGTATTATTAAACCGGAATTTACAAAATCTCAGCATATATATAACAAAGAGTTAGAGGGTGAGAAAAAATATAGACTTAGTTCAACTTAAAAGGACATATTGAAAGTCAAAACAACAATGAAGACCGTTCAAACCATATATATGCTGAAATTTTGAAAATTCCGGTTTAATAATACTTTGAGAAAGCTATTAGCATTAAATAGCGAAACGTCAGTAAAAACAATATCGTTTTGTTTTTCATTCATTGGGAAATACAAAAACCTTTATTATAATGAATATCATATACCCAATGCCCAAATTTTTTCAAACCGTTAAAAGAGAACTTGGTTTGGACATATATATCCAGCTAAATGTTTTCTGTCTTCGCTCAATACTCAACACATCAGATGTCCAGGGAAGATCGGTAACAGGGATCTCTGGCAATGAGCGGAACAACCCAGCAGGAACCGACTGTGCAACAAATAAGCAAGAAGAAATGGAAGTGGATTGGCCATACTCTGAGAAAACAATCCATCAAGTGACATCACACGCCAGACCATCGCTCGAGTGGAACCCGAATGGGAAGCGGAGAAATGGTTGTCAGTGCGAGAGTGACACTGAGGAGGTCATCCGAAGAGGGGATAAAGGCATGTGAGCAGACGTGGAGCCAGGTGAAAACGTTGGCAGAGAACCGAACGCAATGGAGACGTGCGTTTGAAGCCCTATGTTCCTCTAGGAACTAAAGGAAACAATAATAATATAATATCGCCTCTCGGCTCTCTGAACTAAGATCACATGTGTGCGTCGGTGACAAAGTGGTTAGGACTCTCTCCAACCACGCACCTGGTTTGGGTACAATCCCCTGCCAACGCACACCTGATATCAATGGTCGGCTACCGATATCACATGCTGAAAATTCCATACTTGTACCAAAAATACGGTGTTAAATCAAGCTATAATCAAATTAAAAGATAAAATAATAATGTATGTTTGCTGGTGGATGGAGGTTCTGAAGCTGTACCGAGAAGTTGTCACTAATGGGGTACACCATGTCAAAATGAATAGGGTGCTTATCGAAAAGGTATCGCTCTATCACGAATTACTGAAGTTAAAATTAACGGCTTATTGAATTCCAGGCCCATGCAATGAAGGGTCTAATAAGCTTCATCCCGTAGCACGAAGGCTCTGCGTACGATCCCCAGAGGCGAAATGGGTGTGTGTAGTGCTGAATAGTGAAAAACTCCCCGATTTTCAATGGTTTTATAACTGATGCCAGTGCATAATTCAACTTGGAAAAAACACTACACATTATTGATGTCATACTGATAGAAATACATGAAGACGGAAAACTTTGAAAGACATATATTTCGGTGAAATGACAAACATTGACTTGGAAAAAAACACGAATGAAACATTTAGTGGTTGCTTTGTTTCTACACACTACCTTAGGATGGCTTAAGGACCACTTCAGTCGAGCTTTCCAATGTCACAAGTCTAAATGAAAGCTGTTTTCCTGGTCTCAACACAAATCACGTTCTAAAATTTGTTCGCTGTACCTCCCTAGATTACACATCTGCTTTCGACTTAGTACCTAGGGATACTTTGTTAAACAAGCTTGCTGAAAATCAAACTAACTGTTGGGTTGTCAAATAACTGCATTCGTATTTCTTAAGAAGAAAGCAGTACATTGTATGTTAGGGGAAGTCGTCCACTTCATTGTATAACGAGGCTGGTATCCCTGAAGGCGCTGTTCTTTCGCCTTTTATGTTTTCTTTCTTCTTGCATGACTTAGTTCACTCTGATGAAATGAACTTTGTTAAGTATTCAGATGACCTAACTGTTTCAGTGTCTGTTAACTGCCAGCTAGACTCTACTAAGGTGAACAGCTTTCTATCAGGAGTCAGTAAGTGGTCTTTGTCTAATGCTCTTAAACTAAATCCTTTTAAATGTCAGACTGTTAGTTTCAGTTTCTTATGTAAAGGAATGTTAAACGAGGCTGTTAATTCCTATGACTGTTGTAGAAATGATGCTGATAGTGATATAGAAATCAAGTCTGACGTCAAGTATCTTTGACCAACTATTTCTTCTGATGTATCCTGGTCTTCCGACATCTCAGTGATTTCTAAAAGAATATTCCTTTAGACTTTTTACATTGAGAAGTTGAGCCACTCAGGCATAACTCAACTCCTCCTCCTCTTACAGTTTGTCAACTGGTACATCTTACCTCTTCTTCTTTATTTCTCACCCTTATTTTTATTTTTTTCCAAATTTTTTTTATTTTATTTATTATTATTATTTATTAAAATAGAAAAATAAAAAAACATGATGAAATTTCCAAACTGTATCAACAATACTGTTCAAAATAAACCCACTGTTATTCTTATTAGAGTTATTATTTCTAATTTGTACTTTACACATTTTTGACTTCATTTCTTCAGTAAATGTGGACAAATTACTGGGGTTAATTTTTATTTATATTTTGAATAAATTCGATACAATATTGTGACAAGCGCGGAGAATTCCATATAATATTATAAGTACTGTCCTCGGAGTAAAGCAGATTATTATTATTATTATTATTATTATTATTACATCCTCAAGGACTATCTGATAGCTAGTTTGGTGTTAGTATTGCTATGGTGAAAATCCCCACAGATACAAGAGGCCCGTTCCGCATATGCCATTTTACCCCGTCTCTGGAGCAAACGTGTTATCCGACTGGTTATCGACCAAAGGGCGGGTGCGCTGCTCACCAGTCCACTACGTCCTCCTTTATGGCTGTGAGGCCTGGCCATTGGAAGTGGAAGACTTGAAAAGGCCAGCTAGCTGTCTTTGATCATAGGTCTCTGCGTTTTTTCTCCCACTTGAAGTGGTATGATAGGCTGAGCAATACTGAGGTTAGGCATGGAGTGCTAGGTAAGGACCCGATATCAATCGATGAGGCTGTAAAGCTACATAGACTGAGATGGTTAGGACATGTGTTACGCATGCCTAGTCATCGCCTTCCTCGACTGACGGGCAATGTTAGCTGACTGATATAGGATGGATCAGGTTGGAAAAGAGCCAGTGGTGGTCAAATCAACACATGGATTCGTCAGTCAATCAAATCCACAACAGTTAGTTTAAGTAAGTCACGTAGGAAGGTGTAGACTTCCTGACTGGTTGGGGTCCTCGGGACGGTAAAAAAAACCAATGGCTGGAGACAGTCGGTGATATGGCTCAAAATCGTTCTCAATGAATGGTGCAGATGCATCCATTCCCAATGAAACTATATTGTTCTTCGTTATTACTATCCTTTTTTGTCTCATATCTCTGTTTACTGTGTCTATTTTGCATTTCTTCTACTTTCTTCTCTTGCTTTGTGTGCTACATGGAGTGTGGAGACTCGAACTGCTGCACATCGGTGCAACAGACAGACAGACAGACAGCTAGTAAAATCCACAAACACGAGGAAGAAATAACAAAAAATCGAGTCCAATATTACTTACCAGGTAGTAATTCACCAGTTTTTGCAGCTCTCGTATGCTCAAGCATATTTGTTTCTTGATCTGGTGCAAATGCACGTACAAAATCAACTGGATCAATAGACGGAATTGGATACTGTCCAATAGCCAATTCCATTAATGTTAGTCCCAGACTCCAGATATCACTGGCTCCATTGAATAGTTCGCCTATTATAAATAATAAAGAAACGAATGAATAAAATGAAATTGCTTTAAAAATATGACTATTGAAATTATTAATTAGTACTGATTTACTGTTACACAGTTGGAGGTAATCATCAGGAAGCCTTCAATGTATGTTTGTGCTTGTTGGCATTTGTGTCAGCAAGACGTATCTGCAGTCTCTAAGGAACTGATGTCGCTACTGATATTCGCACCGACATCACCCGCCTCAAAGGAAACATCAGCCCCTTTAGAGTTGCAGACACGGCTAGCTGACACAAATGTAAAAGCAGCACGTGACCTAGACTGATGGCCTCTCTACCGATTGCTTCCAGCCATCTAACTATGATTCAAAATGAACCGACCCGATCACAAGTCACCTAGTTCGGTGATTACACTACAGACTTCACTGACAGAATTCGATCTTTATCAACACCAGGAACTACACATATGACATAGGCTAGCAGCTGTGGGCCAAATTGAATGGTTACATTGTCTAAATTACTTAACTTTACCGGGTAAAAAGTCAGCTTGCAATCTCTACACTTTTGCTATTCATTCTCCCCTTCAAATTTCCCAAAAGCATATCCTATGCAAGCGCGGGTAAAATAGACTAAGAACGATATATTTCTTATTTACTTATTATTTATTATAACAAACTTGGTACATTATGCGAGCCAAGAGATGCAACACACAAAATCTCATAGTTTGTGAGATGACTGTGATACTGCCCAGACATCTGGATCGAAACAGTTGACTGTTTTCAGGGGCCTTCGACAAGAAATGTGATCCACATGGTTGCTGCTAACCAAAACAAGTTCATTCGCGATTTGATCCATTCCGATTCCTGAGACCGTGTACACCAGGGGTTTGAAATCATGCTTTTCTAGCCGCCGCCCCCCCCCGCCGTCAGTAGACCTGTATGTCCACCAGTCCAGTTATCAGCGCCAGACGTTCACATTTGCCCTATCACTTTTGTTAGGGGTATACCCCCCATGGCGTCAAGGCAGTGAACAGGATTTACCTGGAAGCGAATTTGAACATGGCAATGGCCACATGAAAGTACTTCGAGAGGGAAATCGAAGTCTACCTACCCTCAGCCGTACCAGGCGGTTTATTATGAGGGTGATATTTTTTACGTTGTAATGACACATACTGTTTTCATATCGCCCAGCACTTCATCGCTTTTTTTCCGTTCACGTTCCCAGTGGAACATAGGGCTACAAGGTAGTGGCTTGAAGTTTCCATAGCAGTGGTGTTTATTTTTTACGGGATACGGTTGCTAGCTTCATACTCAACCTTTCCTCTTTACAAGTCTTATTACTGGCTCAACGAGGTAAAGGAGTGCACCAGCCGGGAATCGAACCCCAGACCATATGCGTGGTCGGCAAGCATTCTACCGCCGTGCCATCGACGCACGTTAATAATGCTAATACCAGTTTACTCAAAAACAATAATAATAATAATAATTCAGAGCCTGGACAACAAACGAAGGAAACACAAGTCGCCAGCAGAGGAGACTTTTACTGTTTCGACTTAAAACCATATCACCTACTAACGCAAGGATATGCATACATGTAGTTTCTTCGAAAAAGGAAATAAAAGCATAATAACCAGTTAGAATGTATCCTCTGAGAATTAGGGGAAAACATATAACGCTAATGAAAAAAGACAGAACTAAAGAGGTGAGAGTACTTAAGTCAAGAGATTCTTTATACACAGGCGTACGAATATACAATTGATATCTACTGTGGTCAAATGAGAACGATAAGAAATACGTGAGCAGATAAGTCGGTAAACAACAGAAAAAAAACGTCAAAATAGATACAACACAACGTTTGACAGTTACCATGACAACAACAGTTACAACGACAATCAACAAAAGAAAAGCATTGCCTCCTATTCAGTCAGTTGAACAGACAATAACATAAATCCAAGATATAATATATGAAATATAGACAAAAGGAAAAGAAGAGAGACAAGGCGCCAGTAAATTCCTAAACTTTAGATTTGCTGAATGTTTACACAGAAATAATGCTTAGTAGTAATACTGGCTAACTGAGTTTAAAAATAACACTTTACACAATAATGTAGCAATTGAAGTTGTCACACTCCATGTTACCTACGTCGGTGGCGCAGTGGTTAGGACTCTCGCCGACCATGCACATGGTCCGAGGTTCGATCCTCTGCCGACGAACACCTGATATCTATGGCCGACCTGCAAAATTTGGGCTACCGATATCCATGCTGAAAATTCCATACCTGTACCAACAATACAGTGTGGAATCAAGCTGTGATCAAAAATAAAAAAGTATGGAAAAGATAAATTCAAAAGTACCTATAATAAGCACAAATGGGTTACAGAAAGAATAGTAACAAGGAAAAAACATCAGGGCTTAGTGGATCTGGGAGATCGCAAAGACTGAATGCATCTGTGCCACTGAGAACGGTTCTGAGTCACATCACCAGCACTCTAAAGCCATTAGTTCTTAACATCTCGAAGATCCCGACCAGTCTACACCTCCCTGTGTAGCTGACTCAGACCAACTTTCAGAGACTTCGTTGACTGATTTCAGGTTTTCGTCTGACCATTACCAAATCTTTTCCAAACCAATCCTATGTCAGCTAACATTGTTTGTGGTGGTTCGGCAAGTATAACATGTGTACCCGCCATGCCAATAGAAGCGGCTTCACAACCTGATCGATTGGTCTACCCTGTTTACTCGCTTAACACTCTATTCCTTATAGTTGGTTTGTGAGGATTAGTTTTGTTTTTAGGAGTTGATCACGGACTGATATCAGTTAGAGAAGCATTGAAAACCAGCAAGGACTACTAGACAGCTGTTCCATCCATCCTAGTTTGCAACCCATCGGCAGTACATACCCACTACCAGGGTTCGAATCCAGGAACTTCTGGTTACAAAGCAAGCTCGACTTTAGACAAAGCAACATTGAAAACCAAGTCCATTCAGTCAAGTGTGAGGATGGATGCCCCACCGACGAAACTGGTCGGGGTCGTGCTAAACCATGAATTGGTAGAAGGTAGAATTCATCCACTGGCCATTGAATCAGGTCCCAGTGGCTGAGTGGGATACGAGCTTGCCTTGTAACTGGAAGGTGCTGGGTTCGAACCCTGGTGGTGGGTACGTACTGCCGGTGATTTCCAAACCAGGATGGATGGATCAGCTGTGCAGTACTCCTTGCTGGTTTTCAGTGCTTCTCTAACTGATATCAATCCGTGATCAACTCGTTAACACTCTATATCTAACGTTAGTACTACTCATTGTGTTATACCACTTAACACGGGATATTCACCACAAATATGTATATGTAGTCATGAAACAGCTAGGCCTCTTCAGATCTACCACTTTCAATAGCCATGTTTCACAGCCATTTAAATAAGTAGTAATACTTCTTATTGCTACTGTTTTTGTTGAATTTGTTTACATGACTTCTATACGATATTGATGAAAAGAATTCGGAGGAAATCATAAAACATCATTAGCACTAATACATACAGGTAAAATGAAGAGAAAAGAATGTAACATTAAACACAAAAATTGTAGTGATACTTCACATGTCTTAGTAATCTGGCAAAGGCAAACAAATAAAAAAAAGTATTTGTTTACAACAACAATACTACAAGTGCTACTACTACTACTACTACAGCTAGTCTTTAAGAAGTCGAAGCGTGGTATTACAAAACTAATTTATTACCGAAAACCAAAACATTAATTACGAAGTATTTCAATTAAGCAATAATTAGGCCTGTATACTGATTCGTCACTAGGAATAAATCAATACCAATTAACCCTTAGTGTATTGGTGCTGAATGAAGTTTGCTATATGGTTACCAAGCTGGATAATTCAGTATTTCACGGTGTACTCTGAACTGCAGATACCCACCTACCTTGGTGATAAGCATCAACATACAGAAACATAGACGACTCAGGGTTTCTCATTAACTGTCTCTCAACTAACTATCTAACAAAAGCAACTACGTACACTGTGAATTATTAATATTATTTCCTTTAATTTCTAGAGGAACATAGGGCTTCAGCCGCGCGCCTTCGGTGCGTTCGATTCTCTGCTTGAGTTTCCACCTGTCTCCACGTCTGCTCACATGCTTTCATTTCCTCTTCACATGACCTCCTCCAAGTCACCCTGGCACTGACAACCAACTCGCCGCTTCCCTTTCGGGTTCCTCTCGAGGGCTTGTCTAGTGACGTCACTTGCTGGTATGTTTTCTCAGAGTATGGCCAATTCATCTCCACTTATTCCTGCCTATTTGTTTCACAATCGGTTCCTGGTTGGTTTGCTCCCAGAAATCCCTCACTACTGCTGATCTTGAGTATTGAGTGAAGACAACTGTTAATGAAGGTCTGTAGTTTGTTTGATGTGCCCTTTATGACGCGCCAAGTCTTTGATCCGTATAGTAGTACTGACTGACTTCACATTGGAGTTGAAAATCCGGATCTTATTTTTGATAGTGAGTGCTGTTGACCTCCACACAGACTTGAGAGTAATGCAAGCTTGTCTTGCTCTTCCGATCGCCGCTGCTTTGATATCCTCGTCAGTTCCGTCCGCCTGTAGTTGAAACGATGCTTCCTAGATATGTAGGTAAAGGAGGTTGTTTCTTTCAGGTTCCTCCCATTTATGCTGGCTGATTGTTGTCTGTTGTTGTTACTGTTGCTGCTGTTGTTGGTCAGGAATCTCTGTCACTTCTGTTTTATCTATGCTCACCTGAAGGCCTATCTTCTCTGGATGCATCTTCTGCCAGCTTGTTGCTTTTCACTTGCATATCTTTCAGTTTGTGGGAAATCAGACATATATCATCGGTGAAGTCCATATCCTCCAAGTTTTTTGTGTGGGTCCATTTTATGCTTGCTTCCTCGTTGCCCGCTGTCTGTCGCACTATCCAATCTACTGCAATCAGGAAAATCATTGGCGATAGTAGGCAGCCTTGTCTTACTCACGTCTGCACTTCGAAGGACTTTGAAAGCAGTACATTATGTATCTATTCTATGTAAATTCTTTGTGTTTTCTTTACTGATCTACTGCTGGCAATAATAAGAATGGATAGTGTTTTGCAACAATATGCAGATATTCCACTGCCTATTCCCCCAACCACCCACCCATCCTGAGAAATTGAATGCAGTTTAAACTTGTGATAGCGTTAATCGTGAAATAATAAACTAACATTTTTAGACAGATAACTTAGCTGAAAAGACGATGTGGGAAATATGGAAGTATGCAAGTCATCATTACTTCCTGGCTGCCGCCACACCACGAAAGTTGATTCTTTCCTGGGATAAAATGAAACAGAAAGACCATTAGTGTTGCGTGACTGCACAGCCTAGCGGACACCTGCGTAAAAGCAGTCACATACAGCCTATTTTAACTGGTTTTCGGAATAGTGTCTGTATTAAGATCTCATCTCCAGGTAGAGACCACAACGTAATTCAGCACATACAGTTTTCTAGGTCGACCTATTTTAACACACCTTACCCAGAGTATAGGAGGCTTGATGGTCATCCGAGGGATACGCCTTACTGTCATTACATCCCAATTCACCAGAAGTACAACTTCACCTTCAGAGCTCCAATACAGTCTGATGGATTTAAAATATGACGGTAACTGATTCTAGTCTGACCGCTATCCAAACAAACTTTCTGGCATGGTAACACCTGCAGGAAACTTAGACCTAGTCAATGTAGCTCGTTGCGTCGCTGTAATATGCAAGTGTAACCACTGCGTCATGGTTGGGTTAACACCTATACACTCATAAAAATTCCACGTGCATAGAACATTATCCAAATCCCCATAACCACTATCCGGTTTGATATAGACCAAACTCAATCAAGTGCTTTTTTAATACAATCAGTCTCATCTGAACAAAAAGTATACATAAAGACAAAGCTCAGCCACATAACACGCTGAAATTTATAAACAGATCCTAAGCCGTCAAGAACACCGTCACTAGTATTGCACACCAACAATCGTTGCGTTACTTGATATTACGCTTGTCCTCAACTCGTTAGACATAAGTACCCTAAGGAACTGTCTCTTAGAGAGAGGTACTACAGAGAAAATTGTTAATACCCTGAAAGTCCTATACAGAAACACCTCAGGCAGAGTGAGTTCACATAACCAGTTATCACAGTTATTTTCCGCCAACAGTGGAGTTAGACATGGTTACTTAATGTCACTGTTTCGCTTTAACTTTGCTATCGATAACATTCTGAAGACAGCTGTGAAGGACGTGCGTGGCGGTAGTGGTGTAAATATGCTTTCATGAGTATTTAGGCGATATCGTCTTATTGTGAGATAACGTACAGGCTGCACAAATCACAGTTAGACACTTGATAATCAGTATTTATTAGTATGGTATGTGCTCTGCGCTAAGTGCAAGGTATTGTTGCAAGGACGGTAAGAGACTGTACCTGCACCCACTCTCGCATGTGAACCACTTGAAGTTATCGATAAGGCCGCGTATCTATGTAGTTTTTTGAGTGCTGCAGGTGTGTCTGATAGAATCTCTAACCGAATAGTAAAAGCCAGGAAGACATACATCAACCACGACCACCTCTGGCTCCATTCCGACGTTCGTTTGACTTTCAAAGCTCCGGTTTACTATGCTTCAGTTCGCGCAGTCTTGCTCTACGCCTGTGAAACCTGGCCACTTCTGATCTAGGGTGAGTGTAACCGATCACCACTGGGGTAACCACGCAGGTCCCCTGCCCCCCCCCCTCGATGAGCACTTAGCTGACGTAGGATTAGGTTGGTAAAGATTTAGGGATGGTCAAATTAAAACCTGGAGTCAGTCCATGAAATCTTTCACAGCTGGTTTGAGTTTGGTCAGGGTTTTCGGGATTCTAAGAATCAATGACCACAGACTATTAATAATATGGTCCAAAATCGTTCTCAACATCAAGACCTTTAGTCTTGTATTTTATTTCAATAGACAGCAGGTAAAAGCATCAAAGTACTACTCCATCTAACTAGACACATGCGATTGCTTGGTTATATGTAGCTTCAAACGAAAAAGGTTCAACACAAATACGGAAGTAACTATATGAAAAACAAGAATTGCACGTAAATTTACTGTGCAATATACCTTGGCTTACTGATATAAAGCATTACTTTAATCTCTTCACTCAAAACTGAATTAAACAAAGATGTGCATAGTACTATTGCACACAAATTCATCAGATATTATAAACCATGGAAAACCACACAAACACACACACTTCACAAATATTGAGTCAAAAGAAACTGTTATCACTTACCAGCTAGACGTTCAGGTGCCAAATACGTGGAGAATCCCAAAAATCCAGACGCCACATATTCACTTAACTGCAAACTTACAACAAAATCGCATAATTTGATTATGCCAGCACGATTGATAAGTATATTGGATGGCTTTAGGTTACTGAAATTTTTTGAAGAGAAAAAAAAGTATAAATAGCATTTTGTTTTAAATAAAGTTCATCGAAATCTATTAAATTTTGACTATCTCAGTGAAAAAATACGGATGTATTTTCATGTTACTAAATAACTAAATAAGTAGTGTGTACAGATTTGCTACAATATATTATTAAAATAGGCAACCAGAAGTAAAAGAACTTATGAAATTTAATTTTGCTATAAAATACTTTTCATTTTACAACACAACTATGCTAATAATTCTGGAATAATGTAAAACGACACAGAACTGTGACTAAAGCTGGATGTGAAAAGATTTCGATAACAGTTACCACGTGATATTCAATTCCACAGCACTTCTATGGTTTAATAAATACTTACCGAATGGTTATAACTTATGCGTCAGAGTTTTAAAAAAAAATGTTTTCCTCCTCAATCAACATGAAAAAGCATGTAGCTAGCTACTAAAAATAGGAGGCTATTACCATTTTAAAGAATGTGACACTGTGTCAAGAAAACAAATACAAAAACATCACGCATGTTTCAAGTTTTTAACTTTGTCGTGCATTATTTAATGGGAAGGTGGTGTTAAGCCTACAGATAGATTTCGTATTTTACACTTCTTAGTTCCTAGTTAATCCCTAGTGAAATGCTTCTCATTATATACGATAAAAAATTTTGGATAAGGCACTTCAAACTTCACACGATAGTAAATCAGTGGTCAGTTTTGCTTTCATGGAAGTTGACAGATTCAGGGTAATAAATTTCCACAGTTTCTTTCTACTAATGTACATTAATTCTCAGTGGATGACTGATCAGGAGGTTCACCCAGTAGCTTGAAGCTCTTAGGTTCCATCCTCGGTTAGGTTACGGATGCATACTGTGAAGAGTCCCAAACTAGGATGAAATAAATGTCGAATGCCAACTTTTAATCAAAAACGACAAAAAATGAACATTACATAATAATAATAACAAAACGTTGTTATAGCAGCTATGTAGGAAATTACAGTATGTGATAAGGAGAAAAATATGCATAAAGCATAAATTCGTGGTAATAATAGTAATAACAACTAAAATAAAATACCAAAGTTATAATTAAACGATAGAAAGGATGACAGCATAAAATTACAGAAAGATGAATGATGAAAGGGTCGATTCACTTTGCTAATTACATAGTAACTTATATGTTTCACATTTAACAGTGTCTTCATCACATAAAATACGAGTTAAATAGGGTATTATAGAATTCTTGTACTCAGTGGTAGGAGCATATAACTTTGTGTATTAACTTCTCGTCCTACTTGATGAGATGCAAGGGGATAGTCGTGAATAAAGGGAGTGCAGGGGGTCTGACAGTACAGCCTTTGCCCATTTTGTACAGGAAATTATGTGTCTGTCGACTATAGTATTGGCGAGCTCACGCAGTGGCAGACCACAAGCCCTACTCACAGCATTTAATACTCTTCGTAATATGATATAGTCTCATTTGAGAAGCCCAGGAAAGATTAATGGAGAGCAACAGAGTACAACAGGTAAAATACAGGAGTTTAAAAATTGCAAAACTAAAGGTTGGTTGATACCTGATTGTCTTAACTTTTTAATGTAGAAGGTACAACGAAATATTTTCTTAGAGATTGATAAGATGTAGGATGACCATGAAAGGTCAGAGGAAAGAACTAATCCAAGGTATTTAATGCTTGACTTGGTTTCAATTTCCGTGCCATCTATGCTACAGGCATCATGGGTACTAAAGAGTTCATGTATGTCACGTAGATGCTTGAAAGTAAAGTTAACTGCCTGACATTTGGAAGGATTTAACATAAGACCATTTGACTTAGACCACTTGTTGATGTCCAACAGAAAGCTATTAAGTTTGGAGCTGTCAGACTCGGAAGTGATAGGCAGTGATACAGTCAGATCATCTGCATATTTGACAAAGTTAGTTTCGTTTGTATGAGGCAGGTCGTGTAGGAAGAAAAAAGAAAAGGAGACAGGACGGCACCTTGAGGAAAACCGGATTTTGTAAGCGAGGTAGAAGAAGATTTGCCATTATATACAGCATACTGCATTCTATCAGAAAAATAAGAATGCAACCAACTCTTTACCCAGGATCCTGTTTGCGTCAACGAAAGCTCACTAAATAAAAGACCCCTAGGTACAGAGTCAAAAGCAGATACGGAGAAATTGTTTCCAGCCATTGGTTTTTACCGTCCCGAGAACCCCAACCAGGAAGTCTACACCTTCCTACGTGGCTTAGGAAGGCCTAGAGGAAGTGGCCTAGAGTTTTAGTGAGAAGTTGTCGCCATGAGGGTGTACCATGCTGGATGTGTGAGGATAAATACTAGCCCGATAACAATGACTGATGGTGGTACTATACACCTCACAAGTTGTTAAAAGTTAGAATTTATGGGTCATTATCAGATTCTCTTCGAGTAGCTGAATGGTCACACAGCAGGCTTATCTCATAAGGTAGAAGGCCCTGCATCTTATTCATGGTGGGGGGTTGTGAGTGCACACTGTCGAAAAGTCCACCAAGCGGCTGAAACAACTTTACATCGATTAGGGATTCTCTAAACAATATCAGTTCATGTTACAACTTGAAAAATATATCTTTTACTGAAAAGTCAACCAACTTGGAAAGATATACGCTAGCTAGAACTTATCTATATTTTTAAGTGTTCGCTTATATTTATTTATGTATTTACGTATTTCAACCTTTAAACCCTGTTTTGTTTTATTTTATCTCCTTACTGAGTCATAATTTTTAAGCTACACTTTGAATCCATATCTATATTTGTGACAAGGTTTACTATCAGAAATGTAGGCGAACAAATACACTACTTGTGATTAAATCTTCCACAAGCCTTATCTTATTCTAACGCTGTGCATATATCATTCATTGCACAAATAGGTGATGCATTAATCGGGTGGTAACAGAAAAAAAATGTGTATTGCACAGTTGGTCAGTGTGTTATATGATACAACTTATGATACTACTAATAATAGAAACAATAATAATAATAATAAGGTGGGAGGTAAGAATTCTGATAAAAAAAACAAGAGAAAGAATGATTTTACAACAACAGCAAAATATCTAATGAGATGGAAGCCGATCGAAGTTGGTAGCATTAGAATTGTAAAATGCTGAAATTCGAAAGATGCAGATAAGTGGAATTCGACTGAAGGCGCAATACAAACATCAAAATATCGATTAAATATTAAAAACTAGATAGGGATTTGGTTGACTGGTTACAGGATTTCATCATGAGCTGTCATTGGTTAGAGAACCATTGGAAAAACTGGGAGTACTGGACAGCTGTTTCATCCTATTTTGGGACTCTTCACGCGTCCACACCACAGGGTTCGAACCCACGACCTTCCTGTTACAAGGTAAGCTCGTAGACCATTAAGCCACTGAGACCCGATCCAATGGTCATTGAATTCTAACTTCTGCCAATTCACGATATAGCGCAACCGCTAGCCAATGTCTTCACACCCGACCTACTACATCCGCCAATAATTTTACTGAAGAACCACTTGCAACTCCATATACTGCTGGCCACTAACCACAACTATTGTGTGAGAGCTAATCATACCGTTTGGCTACTGAAACCTTGGTAGGTAATGGTGCCGGATTCTAACTCTTGACATGTTTGTTGAAAGTCAAAGTCAAGAGGCTTGACCATTGAGCCCCGGCTTCACAGATGCAATTAGAGAGAGAAAGAGTAAGAGAGAAGGAAACTAATCTCGGTGGGGTTAACGGTCCTAAAAGTTTCATTTGAATACACACGTCGAAATTGTGTACTTCGAATATTGCTTACATTTTCAGTTGTTTTCGAGAGTTGAATGAGAAATGCATAACAAAGATTCATTTGGGATGTGATCAATCATCTTTTATGGTTTCATTCTGCAGGCCAAGTGATCAGAAAGCTCACAACAGAGAGAGTTGTATGAACTGTTTGTTTTTCTCCCAGTAAAATACAGATACTCCCACAAACACATGCTGACGAAGCTATCTATTTCCATACTTAATATAACTTCAGATGAAAATGAAATACCTTATTAACAGGATTATTTACTAGATTATGTTTCGAACGCAATTTATTGTTCACAGCCATATCACAGTTGTAACTAGAAAACTACAAAACTTGAATTTTATATTTCTCATTGTTCACTCCCATCTGGCGTAGGAGTAGTAGTACTTTCTAGATGTCCTACGATGATTGTGAGGACAAACACTGGTCAAAATAATAGGCCGGGGTCAGATATAAAAAGACCTAACGAAATCTAGACTGATAGACTCCAATAAGACTTTTAAAAATTTAGAAAACAGTTCACCTATAAAGCATCGCGTGCAGTTATACCCAACCACCACACAATAGGATAGGATAAGATGACAGTCTTAAAGTCTAACATAACAGTGTACAGGGAGAGATATTCATAACTGAAGCTATTTTTCATCGAATCACCCGAGAAAAAACATGCAGTAGGAATGATTCAACACCTTTTCAGGACATCTGGAAATTCTGCTGCCTTTAAAAGAGATTTAGGAAGAAGAGAAGAGGACTACAAATATTAGGTTTCGCAGTTATACACTTACAACTGATATGATTATGAACAATACATTCTGTTTAAAAACTCTTTGAGTAATTGAAACTGTTTCAATGTATGACAGATCAAATAAACAGATTAATACGGAATTAAATACTACCACATATATATATACGCGATTCAGTCTTCTATAATTGTCGTGCACACCAGGCTTGTATCACTCATGAAGTCGTTGAAAATTTGTAACACGGCCATCGTTTAAAGTTAGGGGATATAGAATTAGAAGTATAAAAATTATTTACATGAACGCAACTGAAGTTATATTTACCGCAGTTGTTTCAGTTAAGCAGTTAAGGCTAGACACTAAAATTTGAATCAGACAATACATGAGTAACTCTCTTGTTACTAAAAAAATTTTGTGAGATTGCCTGAAGATAACAATCATACGCGATTAGGTTGTATCATGAATTTTAACAAAAAGGCATATATGCTATTTGGTGGATGGTAGCACTAGCACTGGAATCCAGGATGCGTGCTTCGTCCTTTTATAGGACTCGTCATCTGGTTATTATTAAGACTACAAGTTGGTAAGTGTCGTAGAGCATAATTTCACTTGATGAGAACATAGAGTAATACATGAGTTACTAATAACGTTCCCTGTACAATTTATTGATAATAATCATATCAAGGCACTTACATAACTTGCATGTTACCTTTATATATAACCCAATTTATTTCTTATCCCTTGACTTTATTGGCAGTAAATACTTTTCCATAGCTTAGGTAATGATGAATAGTGTGTTAGGTGTGCATTACACGTGCAAGAGGAATGACGTAACGTAACGCCGAAACCAGAGTTATGGAAAATATTAATAAGAATATGATCAAAGAATAAGAAATATAATGGCATCATATAAATAAAATCGACAGATTATACGAGTGCCTTGATATGAAGATGAGCGATAAATCGTGCTAAAAACATCATCAGTAAGTGATACTGCATCACTAATAATAACAATAATAGTAATAATAATAGCCCGAACCAAAACAGCACTTTTGATATAAATGTGGAATTTTCAGCAAGCGTACAATACTGCATCTAATTTTCTCATTGCATAATATACAGGGATTATAATTAAAAACAGGCCATTTACATTAATAATATTGCTAAATAAGATGAATACTAAATTTAAGTGGAAATATTACCAACAATATATTTATCAAAGAACAAAACGGTCATTTACTAACTGTTTCACAGTAAGTTAGTAATGTCCTACACTAACACTTGCACTACACTCTTCTCATCACATAAAGTGTGTGCTAAAACAAGGTATTGCAGAGTTTATATACTCAGTCGTACGAACATATAGTCTTCTATAGTTGTTTCTGTCTGTCTGTTTGCGACATAGAACTTTGCACATAACTGCGGCAGTTCAAGTCGCCACACTCCCTTCATATAGCATACAAAGCAAGAGAAGAAAGTAGAAGAAATGCATCATAGAGACAGTAAACAGAGGTGTGAGACAAACGAAGAACGATATAGTTTCATTGGAAATTATAAGTCACAAAGAGTGGATGCATCAGCGTTAGCCATTGAGAACGATTTTGAGCCATATCACCGATTGTTTCCAACCATTGGTTTTTGCCGTCTCGAGGACCCTAACCTAGAAGTCTACACCTTCCTACGTGTCTCAAGCTAACTGTTGTGGATTTCATTGACTGGTACCATGTTTCGGTTTGATCGCCGCTAGCTTTTTTCCAGCTTGACCCTATGTCAGCTAAAATTGCCTGTCGAGGCAGGCGATGACTGGTATAGTTGCTTCTAGATCGACCTGATAAGGTTTTTTTATCATAGCTTGATTCCACACCGTATTTTCGGTACAGGTATGGAATTTTTAACATGCGATATCGGCCGACCAAAAATATCGGGTGTGCGTTGGCAGGGGGTCGAACCCCGGACCATGTGCATGATCGGCAGGGGTCATAACTGCTGTGCCACCAACGCACAGAAGTTGTGTATGGAAAAGGATGCTCAAGGTCCGATGAGACAATATTGGCTAATTTCTTGCATGACTTGCATGTCTATCTATAACAGTATTAACAAGTTCGTCTAGAGACACCCACCCCACGCCCTACTGACAGCTTTTAGTACCCTTTGCAATGTAACAAAGTCTTTCTTAAGCAGTGCAGGAAAGATTAGATTGGGAGGAGTAATAAAAAAGAATAGGTCGAACACAAGAATTAACAAGTTGTAAAAGTACACACTGAATGGTACCAGATTGTCTTAACTTCCTTACATAGGAGGTTAGACAAAATATCTTTCTGGAAACTAACATGATGTCAGAAGACCGCGGAAAAATCAAAGGAAATCCACAATCCGACGTATTTTAACATTCAATTTAGTTTCAACTTTAGTGCCATCATCTATGCCAGTTGAATCAGGCGAACGAGCTAGTTCATGTAAGTTGCCCCTTGGCGTCTGAAAGTGAAATTAACAACCTAACATTTAGAAGGATTTCGCCTAAGACCATTTGATAAGGACCACTGACTAACTTCTGATAAAAAAGCTGGTCATTTTGGAACAATCAGATTGGCAAGTAACAGGCATAGAAACAGTCAGATCATCAGGATATACTTAACAAAATTGGCTTCGTCGGAATGCGGCAAGTCATGTAAGAATAAAGGTAACAGAAAAGACAGAACTATATAGTTTTACTAAATAAAATTAATATATTATAAAATTTACCCTTCAACTAACCACTGATAAAAAGAACTCACCGATGGAACATATGCAACTCTTGCCAAAGATATAACAGACCAGAAACAACTGAATCAGCAATATGAATAATAATTGGTTCAGGAAAACGTCCAACCATTCGTAATAGTAAATCCATCCCACCAACATCCATATACTCCATATAAATACTTATTAAGCAATCAGAATGTATTGCTCCATGGAACTCAATTATATGCGGTGATATACACTCCCAAAGAACCTATTTGTGACACGAATGGAGTAAATCAATACCACACACACACTAGAAAATCGAGGAATAAATAAAATTTTCCACACATATTAGTTACAAGATAAAAAAACATGGCTGCCTATGTATTAAGTGTTAGATTGATGAAGGACTTTGTGTTGAATTGATGCTACTTACTAAGACCGGCCTCTATGATTTCGATTTGCTTTTTATTAACATCATAAGGCAAGTGTTACCAGAGTGGTAAGCGATTTTTTTTGAGTTGATTAAAAATGTCCGTTAAACAGGCCACAAAGCCACCTAGCACTGAAGATTCCTTCTCTATCATCTGCCGGGTGCTAAATAAATTGCCAAAAGCACCGAAGTACCACATGCTCCAAACAGCAGATGCTACCGCGCAATTCGCGTGGTACAACCAGTGCTTTGTGTGCAAAAGAAGCAAGTCCAGCCACCACTACTGCCCTAGCCTTCAGTAGAGACAATATATTCATTAATCTGTATTATTGTCTTTCCCAACTTTTCTGACATTGTTATTGTTATGTTGATGCTACTGAACTGTAATCTATTGATACTATTATTGATTCGATGTTGTTTAGACAGCATTAATGTTGTTCATAACACTAATTCATTCATTCACTATAATGTATATATTAACTGTAGAGACTGATGATGAAGTTATCGAAAAGAGTACTCTTTGTTCAGTATACATTCTTTTCTTGAATTCACAAGTGTAGAAGAATATAAAATGGTGGGACGTGTTTTCTTGATTTCCATTACACAGCATCGACGATTCAATGGTAGGTCCAGGGTTCGTCGACGCACTCTTACAATTAACCTAACCAGTATTAAGTCCCGAAGAAAAGCTGGGGTGGAGTACAAAACCACTGCTACCGAAACTTCACCGCTTGAAACGCTATGTTCTACTCGACCCACGATGAATGAAAAAAACCTTTAATACATGAGTACAATATATTCATGCAGCAGAGAAACCACGTGAACTCTAATGTTTTAGGCAGTGAGTCGTACTCACTGTATCAAAGTTGATTTTATCACCTGATTATCCGAACTTTATAAGGCGTGACTGAAAGTTAACCACTACGAAATGCACATTATCAGTCTGTAAATCGCTTATACACTAATAAGTCCTGAGTTACAAGGTCACCGCCGCCAACTACACTACTACTGAACTGATGAAACAGAATTCAAATAACAGTGAATTTATATAGATGAAATAAAGCTTATCAAAATAAACGCACAACAAGTGCACTTACTAATCATTCTCAAATAAAAGAATTTAGAAAGAAAAGACAAGTTTTACTTCAAAATCTTTTGTTCTCAATAAAAGCATTTATTAAAGCAATCCAGCTCTCTTTTTTCTCTCTGCAATAAAACTAATAACATTAATATTAATGCCGACTTCTCCAAGTCACCCCCCCCCACACACACACACAATAATTGATCGTCATCATCACCACATGTAGTTTATAGTCAGAAAGCTTAAAATTATTTCCATGCTATTTAAAGTAACAGTGAGTGAATGATATGATGATGATGCGATTACCTGCTAATACGCCTAGATACGTTTATGCTTAAGGTATTCTACTTACTATATATTAGGCCTTTTCTAGAGTACTGAGCAGTAAGTTGGTCAGTGGTATTTCAAACCTATTTTTATGAGAAGTGGTTGGTAAATCTACATCTAATTATCACAGTGAAGGAAGAGAGGTGACTAAATTTTGGCTTATTGTACATAATATCGAGTCAGTGATGACTTGGTTACCGACCTTTTCAACCTTTTCACGCTTCTCAAGTCACAGAATATACACATTTGGTCATTGGAGATATTAAGACAGTTACAGCGAAGAAAATTTTCTTTTCGACGAAGTTATCATCTAGGCTGTACATTCGTGTATTTATATCAAATGGATGGGAAAGTTCCAGAATAATTTCCGGTTAAGGGTCAAATTAATGAAAATTAAAATTAGGAATTAGAATGCCATAATTAACAGGGGGATGGATAAAACTCAAACAAAGCAGCGTCATATTTACTAAGAAGATTGACTTTGTGCAATTGGGGGTTAGAAATGTAGAAATAACAAAATAGACAGGATGTTTGGATAAAAAAACTTATGTAATGAATAATTGTTTATGCAATCAGGGATTAAATATGTAGAAATAGTAAAATGACAAAATAAACAGGAAGTTCGGATATGAAAATATGGTGGTGTAAACAGGAATTAAGAAAAACTTAAAATAACATGAATAAACAAGAAGTTTAGATAAGAAAGGCGATGGGATGGTCATTACTAAAAAATTACCTGTTTATAATGGCCATGGCACGGACAGGGGTTGGACGTATTTCTTTTGGATACAAAGCGTGGGTTCTGGAATTCTGGAACTTTCCCATCCATTTGATATAAATACACGAATGTACAGACTAGATGATGACTTCGTCGAAAAGAAAATTTTCTTCGCTGCAACTGGCTTCTCAAGTCATCATCACATCACACTCTGTGGTAAAAGAAAATACGAGTGGAGTGCAGGTTTTCACATGGGATGGGCCAACTGGCCTCATCTATGAACGCTCCACTTAGCAATATATTCCAAAAATTAATACAGGTCTACTAGTATTATCACTGAGTCCGAATCTGAATCCACTCAACTATTTTAAACAATGACATTATGTGCATCATGGGCACGATACAAGTAAATCGTGATTAAACAGTCATGTGAAGTGTATTACTAATACTATTATATTTTTTTAAACAATGGATTACCTGTAAATCCCTGACAATCTGTGCTCTTGTAGTTGTCTTAACGTCTAATTCAAATGTTTTTCTAATCAACAATGTACCAGATGGTTTATGCTGTAGTTTTGTCACAACTCCACCATTACCTCTTCCCAATTCTGATATCAGCAGTAAATCATCAATATTAAAGTCTGGCACTAAACGTCGACGACCAGAATCACCTGGACTTGGAGTTTGTGAATATTCAATAGACGTTGCATTTGATGAACTACTCAGTGAATTTTTATTATTAGATGGGCTTTTACATCTTGTAAATGGTTGGAGTGATGGTCTATTATCATTGGTTGATTGGGAATTTAAAGTTGAACTGAAAAATAATGAGAAAAATAAAGAAACCATTATGACAATGAAATTTACTAATTCATTCCACATATACAGCTGTCATGGTCACGTAATGCTTTGATTTCCTTTCTACATATTTTTTTGTGATTTGAAATTTTTGTAGAAACATTAATGTCAATTCAGAGCTCAAGTAATGTTCAAAGACCTGACACGAGCGTCACCAAATGCATTTCCAACAGGCTACTTCAGACTTTCATCAACAGCTGTCTTAGCTGGCTTTCATACTGAAAATCACATGGCCGGACAGAATAAAGGAGAACGATGCCCATGAAGGCTTCGTGCGCCAATGAAAGTGTGTGGGCGGTTGTTACTTCCCGCCTGCCCACACCGTGGAAGTTGATTGATTCTTCAGGTACCGGATACAGAAAGAGGCTTAGTGTTGCATGACCGCAGAGCCCAAGGGAACACCTGCTTGAGACCGGCCGATCACACATGGCCTGTATGAACTGATTTCTGGGATTGATTCCGTATTAGTAAACATACTGCCGGTTACGGACCGCCGTAGGTGGGGTAAGTCGGGATGTACAATTTTTGGGGTCGACCTCTTCTAACCCCCTCTCTCCGGAGTGGAGAGACAGCACAGATGGCATGCTGGTCATCTGAGGGAAACACCTTACTGCTGTTAGACCCCTGTTCCCCAGCAGTACGACTTCGCCCTCAGACCCCTAGCATAGTGTAAGAAAGACTCTTACACAATGCCGATAACTGCTTTTAGTCTAATCGCTATGCTAACAACCTTCCCGGCATGGTAGGACCTGCAAGAACATTGGTTCCAACCAGTGCAGCTTGTTGGGTCATCGCGATGTGCAAGCCCGACCACCACGTCAAGGTAGCAGCTATCGGTCGGGGGCTGGACAGAAATGATAAGCGACACACAGCCCGGGCAGACAACAAACCAAAGAAATGGAGATGAAGTGGACATAAACTAAGGAGATCACTGAGTGACACCACACGCCAATCAAACCCTACAATGGATCCTAAATGGAAAACGATGAGTTCAGCAGCTGAGAGTGACATTCAGCAGATTACGTGAGGAAATGAAAACCTATAGACAATCATGACGCCTGCTAAAGAAATAATCCGGAGAACAGTGAAGTGTGTATATGTGCTGCTGAAGCCCAGTGCTCCTCTTGGAACCAAGGATAATAATAATAATAATAATAATGCCTTAATAAGCCCTAGTAAAATGCAGTGATAAATATTGATGGGAATATGCAAAACACAAAACAGTGAAGTGTTTCAGTGTGTCACAAACCAAACAATATGAACATCACGCAGAAGGAGAATGGATATTGGCGTGGATTCAAAGCACGTACCAGTAAAAAGGTGGAGTCCTCATCTTCAGGAACTCAAATTCATTATGTATGCCAACTTCATATCGAAACGTATGTCACTGAACTAACCGACTCATAAAGGTCCAATCATCAAGCACAACAATTTTAATTTTCTTAATTTTTGATTTACAGCTTGATTCCACATTGTATATTTGGTACAAGTATGGAATTTTCAGCTTGGATATCGGTAGCCCAAACTTTGCAGGCCGACCATAGATATCATGTGTGCGTCGGCAGAGGATCGAACCTTGGACCATGTGCATGGTCGGCGAGAGTCCTAACCACTGTGCCCCCGACGCACAATGGCTCAAACATCCCCATGAGGTTATATAAGGGAAGAGGGTTTAGCCATTAACGCGATATTACGCTACTGTTGCCTAGAACTCTCAATTTTAATGACAAACTCTTGGAAACACACCGTCTTTTGCCATGAATATGTACTATTTATGAGTGGTTGTACGGCTTGAGAAGGATATCGGTGAGCGTCTCTGCCTTAAAAAAAAACAATATTTAAATATGTTAACCCACTGCTTACTGAAAATCATACTTACGCTTCAGCTCCATCTGTGAAAGACTCTGAGATAGTGATAGAGATTGGTTCCTGTGATATATCCTCAATAATTATCTGAAGTAAACAAATGTGAGATATGCTTTAGCATTATCATAATAATACATCATTAAATAAGGTTAGAATAATGAAGACATCCCAATTATCAATAATACAGTGCACCCAGTGCACACATAACTGAACAATGAGGAAGTCGGGAATTCCCACTCAACGGATACAAAATCTATTCGATTACAAGGCATAAAATAATTAAATGTTTATAAATATATATATATATATTGTTGTCTCAACTACAGGAGGAACGGACGAGGATGTCAAATCGAGAATCGGGAAGGCTAGCGAGAAACACATTCATCAACCTGAAACCAATCTGGAAATCTTCGTCACTCAGCCATCAACAACAAAATTCGGTCGGATTTTCAATACAAACGTCAAGTAGTCAGTTCTTCTATACGGATCAGAACCTTCGCGGCGGGTCTCAAAGAATATTTCCAACAGCCTGTTGCAAACCTTTACCAACAACTGTCTTCGCTCTATACTGAAGATCAGATGGCCGGGTCGGAAAGAATCACCAACAAGAAACTATGGGAACAAACAAAACAAGAACCAATCGCCCAACAAATATTCAGGAGAAAGTGGAGATGGATTGGACACTCGTTGAGGAGGCCAGTTGGTGACATCGCGCGTCGGGCCCTCGAGTGGAACCCGAAAGGGAAGAGGCGAGTGGGACGTCAGTGCAAGGGTGACATGGAGGAGATCGTGTGAAGAAGAGTTGAAACAGTATGGACTAACATGGATGCAGGTGAAAAGTACAGCAGAAGACAGAAGCAAGTGGAGACGTGCAGTTGAAGCCCTATGTTCCACTAGGAACCCAAGGGAACAATAATAATAAGTTCCCAGCTATTATTTGGTTACTAAGTCAGAAATCTACAACAATCAGTAGGACGCAACACTAATAAGATTAAAACCAAAATCTTCGTATCCACTACAATCGAGTTATTTGAACTCCCAACAATTAATGATATTTGCATAATCAAAAAGTCTGCATTCTGCACTGAATTCGCCGCTATGATAAGACTATACTCTGCTATCAGCAACCAAACCCACCTGACCAGATTAAATACTGCGTGCTTCTTATTCGACTTGCATTTATTAGTAGTAATACCGTCTTTAAGATGATGAAAGGTTTAACAAGTAGTTCCATGATGCCACCATTTCTAATGAACTTCATAAGCAGATACGTTTACGAAGATCTATATTATTATCTGAAGTAAAACAAATGAAAATCCTCCATGAAGACGCCTTAAATAACTTACAGCATGCAGTCGACTTAAACCTAATGGATGATGATATTAAAATGCTGAAAGTGCTAAACATTTTAAGTGACAAGTTGAGCATAGTTTTGATGCACTCTTTACCTTCAAATTATAAACTATTACTTTTCAACTTGTCTGTAATACTGGTGTCTAACTATAGTGAATGAAATGGTTGGACGGGTCAATCATTTCGTTTACGTAAAAAGTTACGTCAGCCCTAATGGGCTGTTGACTGATAAAATCTCAATGAAAACACTAAAAGTCTAAGACGTTAATTAACTTTGCCTCTTATAGCTTGGTCGTATTATCCAACTGCACATTAAGGGTTTAGTCCTCTACTTAGAAGTAAACACTGTTTTTCTACATGGCTTTAAAACATTCCAACGGACGTACAAAACCTACGAAGACTTGCAGTGTTTTTCTGATGTTGCCGACCTTTGGTGAAATCACTTGGAAATTGGTTATAGACAGGTAATATCTGGTTTCTCCACGTACTGTTACACATTCCTATCCACTGTTGATCGTCATATGGAAGTAAGGCTGGACTGAAGGAAGAAGAGAAGTTAGGCTAAAATGTGATGCCAATCTAAGAAGTCATTGACTAATGTTCTAAATAGCGTAGGAAAATAAACATTTCTGACTTCACGTAGCAATCAGGTCTTATGGATACAGATTCTAGGTAAGGTGGTTAATCGATCCCAATGGAGCAGACATATCTGTAACTTACCTTAGGTGTAATATAGTCTATTTCGATTGGACTTATCTAACGTGTCCTCAGTAACACTAAGATCCTTACATTATATGCCATTCGTTTTTATGACTTTTGAGATATGAGGTGTGACAAGTTAGAATATCATGCGACAATGCTGCGTGCTATACAATAGCAGAGGTTTTTATCCCACCCCACCAGCTTTGGTCAGAGCAGGTTTGTACTAAGGCATGCGTTACTAGGAGTGTATAAACCAAAGCAAAAGAATCAAATGTCTATACTACAACAAAGCAAATGACTACGCATAAATAGATTTATGGTACTATCAACGAAGTACTGAAAAGCATTAATGAAAGCTTACATTACTACAAGAAACATTAAACTAGAATTGTGTGGGTTTATAAGGTAACGACAATCACTAGGTGTTCAAATTGGCTTCAGATAATATTCGGAACAAATTAAACAAGATATTACCAGACAAGGATTGCTTAAACGACCTTGTATATATTCTTGGTGTATGGAGGAGTTAGAAATCTAGCAGCATTTCTATATTCGATTATAACCATATATCTTGGCGTGGTTCGAACTACCAGTGAACAACGACTGAGAACAGAGGATGACTCCACCTCACTGAAACATGACGGGAGTCCCATTATTATGACAATACTTCCAGTCTACTATATCATCAAAAACATTTGATATCCATATTTAATCAGCTAGTAATATGCATGAAATGAGGGAAAATAAAGTTGGGCGTCGTTATAGTTCAGTCATATTAGAAATGAAATGTCCAAGCCATATGATAACCATTATGCCGCTTAGAATTAATTAAGTAGATAAACTAATGGCCACATGACATGAAAAAATTAGCTGTCTTTGATCATAGGTGCCTGCGTTCTATCTCCCGTGTGAAGTAGTATAATAGGGTGAGTAATATTGAGGTTAGGCGTTGAGTGCTAGGTTAGGTAAGGAGGGCAAATCAATCGACGAGGCTGTGAAATTATATCGACTTAGATGGTTAGGACATGTGTCACTTATGCCTAGTCATCGCGTGCTACACGGAATGTGGCGACTTGAACTTCCGCACATTTGTGCAAAGTTCTATGTCGAAAACAGACAGACAGACAGTCATCGCCCCCACTACGGGCCATGTTAGCTGACATAGGGTCAGGCTGGAAAAGAGGCAGTGGTGGTCAAACCGAAACATGGCACCAGTCAATGAAATCTACAACAGTTAGTTTAAGCAAGCCACGTAGGAATGTGTAGACTTCCTGGTTGGGGTCCTCGGGACAGTAAGAACCAATGGTTGGAAAAAATTGGTGATATGGCTCAAAATCGTTCTCAATGGCTAACGCAGATGCATCCACTCCCTGTGACTTATAATTTCCAATGTGACTCTATTGTTCTTCGTTATTAATACTCCTTTGTCTCACACGTCTGTTTACAGTCTCTATTATACATTTCTTCTACTTTCTTTTCTTGCTTTGTGTGCTACATGGAGTGCGGCGACTCGAAATGTCGCACATGTGCAAAGTTCTATGTCGAAAACAGACAGAAAATAGCCACATGTTTATTGTAAAATATTTAAGTCATTTAGGTTGGAAGTACATCACACAGTCCACAACAACATAACAAGAAATCATACAAAATACTCAACTAACCTTTTGAGTTGTCTTTTCCAATTCATCACTGGCAAGTGCTTTATCGATTTCTGATATTTGGTCAACAACCATCGATACTACTGCATCTTATATGAGAATCTAAAATAGGCTAGTGAAAATTTAAGAAAATATCTGGCTGTATGAAAAGTCTCACCACTTTTGCATTTTCACAACACAATATAAACGCATAAACGCAGAGAATACCCAGGCTAACAGTAACGCTGAAGCAAAACCTGCAAATTCTAAACGAACATTTCTTCTATAGTGAGAAAATTCCTAAATGACTTGATATTCCACACAAAGAAGCAGTCTGTGATATTTTTAAGCACCGACTGGCATGATTTTAGCACGGCACCTACTGACAACATAAGTTCGTCAAACATTACAGTCGCCATAAAATGTAAGCACATACACATTTTGGGACCGGTCAGCGAAACCCCTCCACATTATAATAGTGACATTTAAGGGACTCACTAGGGACTGCATATAAAGATTCAACTAAATAACGTGCTGAATCGAATCTTAGGCTGTTTAACTAATCTGTCACTACTATCAGAACGCTTACTGACTAATTTCTCTGTTGCCTGTACTTTTGAACGAAGTGGAAGACGAAGGAGATGAGACAAGTTTTTCAAAGTTTGCGTTTTTATGTTGTTCTTCAATATCTCGATCATTAGCAGAGTATGTTGGATTAAGATCAGTCACATTAGCAACATTTTCACAGGAATCGTAAAAATTTGAATCATCTGAATACTCCTCTGCTAGACCCGGTAGAGCATTTAAGAAATTTCCATCTTCGAAAATGTGCACTCCATCGGCATCAACTGCTACAACATTCAATCCTTTAGGGATAGGCAGGGGAGCCACTGAAATGAAAGGTGAAGTACACTGAGACCCATTGATTATCATTACTGATGAATTTGCAGTATTATAGCGTTCAGCATAATTATCACTCTTGTCATATAATCTAATTAAGTTAGTCGACTGGTTAATATTAAGTCAAATGAAGTGCAAAAGTGCCATATGATAACACCAGTAACTAAATAGCACTATTATATAACACCTGGTACTAATTGATGTCAAGTTCATGAATCCCCTGCTGAAAAATATATTTAGTCTATACATACATTATTCGTGTCTATTATACAGATGAAAAACAAAGCATTACTCAGATTATATAGCACATATACCAACTAGGTTACGTAAACATACTTCGCAACTGCGTGAGTCAGTCTTCTCACCACGGGTACTGGACTAAACTGGCCTTGAAGACAAATACACGACCTTGGGATCCTTGTACCCAAACGGGTCAAAATAGGTGCATACAGATTCAAATTTCTAGTTGAGAATAAGAGATTTCAAGCCTACATTAATCCTTCAATAGTTAGTGTCTTCGTTTGTCTGATCCCTTCTTGAAATATTCCAATAACACAAATTTTCCTGGAAGTCGGTTGCGTGAGATTATTATTCTGTGAGAGAACCAGTACTTAGATGGAACATAATCCCCATCTGGTCTCTGAACTCCCGCACTATATCCTCTATACGTTCTGACGTGGTGGAAAGGAAAACAAAAGATAGAACAGGTTCATAGCTATTTCTTACGATTTTTAAAATCATGATGTCATCTGCCTACGGTATGATAAGTGGAAGAGGCTTAATGTGTTAACTCGTCCCATGTATCATAAATCAGCCGTGGCGAAAACCACGTGGGCGGCTTTCCTCTCTAATCCCTTGGGAATATATCAGTCTATTATAAGATATCTTCCTATGACCCATATATCTGTTAGCGTCTGAGTCTATGGGAGCGGTATTCTTTTTATGTAGTATGAGCTGACGCTTGTGCGCCCAATGCACACAGTTGCTTACTTAGTTAAGTTGACTGGGAGAATCTGTTCTTACACCCAACTTAACAGTTTGTTGAGATCTCTGCGCAACATAAAAATTTCGCTGTCATCCTTAAACTTCCTCCAAATTTTTGAGTGATATGTGTAGAGACGCACGATAGATATATTCAAACCAGGCAACTCAGTCACACTCAGGGCAGATATCGGGGGGGAGGCTCGTTGAAAAGCCCTGGGTAGCCATGGAGTCCCATCGATTTCTCTCTGTCTAATTAATTTAGTGAGTGAATTCCGATGCTTTTGTTCTATGCCAATGGAATCCACGCACGTTTCCCTGTGGCGCTGCCAGAGCTGGCATAATTCAGCCATGATTGACAAATCCTTGCAGTAACCTCATTTTTGGCTACGCTGTAAAGTATTTTGTCCTCTAAAGTTTCGAAAGTGATAAATATGTATCAGCACTTTTGTTTATGCCTATGCAGTCCACGAATCGCTTTACTTATCCATGGGTGGCAGTGTTTTCGACTCTTAGGCATAGATAGTGAGAATCTGAGTTGGGTTACTCGAATGAACAGGGGCTCAAACTGATTCCAGGTGTTTTGCACATGAGCTCCCAATTTGTGCTTCAATATTGTCATGGAACCTAAGACAAGGAGGCACTCGTCTGCTTTCACATGTCAAATGAAGCTGACATTTTCGCCCAAGGCACTGCAGCAGCTGTGAAACTTGGAGCCGGCACAGAGTGATCACTTACTTTGTAGGGTGTAGAACCTATATGAGTTTCACGTTCTCACCTTGGTAGAAAACTCGGTCTGAGTTATTAGGTGTGTGCTGAAGACCACAGCCAGTACGTTCCCTATCTAGCTTGAATGGAGCCACTGAAATACTGGATTCTATCAGTCTAAGGTGGCTGATTGATGTGGCGCCCAAATCACTTTCTTATAGGACATGATACTTGGATGTCCATCAGTCCCATTTCTCCACGGGAAAATCGCCTACATTACAATCGGGACTGCAATATATTTTAGTCTACAGTTTGGAAATTCTTATGATATACTTTTATTTGTGAGAGCCCCACAAAGCCAAGCGCTGCCTAAAACATATTACTATTCCACTCCTATGGTGGTTTACTTGGTCCGTTATATGCAGTGTGAAATTTTCAAGGTTGACTATCACTAATTTTGGGTGTCAGCCGGGATTTCGTAAAACGGGTGATATCTGAGTTTTCCGATCCAGCCATATTACCCGACTAAGTCTATTTATTCTGAGGGCTGCAGGCATTGGCATAGCAAACCGCTAGTCCAGTTTAGTGCTTCTGTGTTCCACCCACAGAGGTTCCATAACCTTCAAGCTTCGAAATTTCACGACTCAAACATCCTAACAATAACTGCTTGCGATTACTAAGTCGTCCAGTTAACTTCAGTCTGTCTTACGATGCAGCCTGCTGTGAGTAATGCTTGACGGGTTTAGACAACACCGCTCGGAATTGTATCCCTTTCATTTCCAGAGTTTATTATGACTGTGATAAGCCCTACCGACCCTCGAGGCAATTATGTAAAGTTAAAACAATTAGTCCCTTTGATAAATTTGAACAAGGCATTAAGAAGACAAATTTCGCGAGATGATATCATTTCGTAGTTTCTTTACAACCGCTTTACAACTAACATGGTTAACAATGATAAAATAAAGTTCATGAAAATTACTCAGTTAAATAAAAACAAAAGTACATATTAATGACCAATCATATTAAGATAGGTCATGCAGTCCAGGGTAGGCGCGATTAATCTTAATAGAAATCCAGCATCATCCATTGCAAAACACTTATTAATGTCTGGTCACAGAATAAATATTAATGACTGTTTCACAATTATTTCACATAACTCTAATTCAAGGTTATTGAAGGTGATGGTGTAACAACAGAAGACAAGGGCTGGCAACAGATCGTTTTATTACGAAAATCAACACGTATTTATATATATTTTATGTGCATTAATAAGGCTTATGCAAGCAGAAAAAGGCAGTCTTCTGATTGGTTGTTTCTCGGAAGTTAAGCAGACAAACACAGTCTTATGATTGGTTGTTTTCGATATTTCTCGGAAAGTAGAGCCATCTATCTGCGAATCATATTTGTCCACATTTAAGTTTGCTGTGATTGGTTGTTGAAACAGCCTTGTTCATATTTTCTCACGGCCCATATTAGTGACCTAGACATTAACGTAGATTAGTGCCAACCAATCGGCTAGCAGCCTGCTCTCACCACACTCGTCCCCCCGTCAAATAGCTTCGTGCGCAGACGTTCCGACCTTCTGGGTGCTACATCCTCTAGTTGAGGATTGTTACTGACCGGCTTGTCCCACTGTACCCATCTTTGGAGCTGACTGGCGTTAACTCGTTTCTGTTTATCACCTCTTCGGATGGTATATACTTGACCCCGTCTTTTTGTGATTGTGTATGGTCCTTCCCACTTTGGAAGGAGTTTCCGTGAACCTAGCCCGCCTCCAACTGTATATCTCCTGTCTCTACACTTCACTTGGTCCCCGACTGCAAAGGTAATGCACTGCGTCCTTTCTTTCATCTGAGACTTCGTGACATCACTGCGCTGCTTCCGTATTACATTCTTGACTGCCTCTTTCCTCTCTGCTTTTAATTTCGTCGTACTCCACTTTTGGTGCATGGGCCAGGTCTCATTGTGTACCGGTAATCGTGGTTTTCTACCATACATCAGTTGGAAGGGTGACTTCTTCGTTGTTTCCTGAGTGGTAGCCCGATGTGTTAGTAAAATCAGTGGAAGCTCCGTTTCCCAGTTCCCGCCCTTCGAGGCCAGCCACTCCTTCAGTGTACGGTTGTTTCTCTCCGTTAGGCCATTCGTTTGTGGATGGTATGGGGTCGTTCTGATCCTCTTGATGCCCAGCTGTTGCAAACGGGAAGTAAACTCTTCACTCTCGAAACAGGGACCTTGGTCTGTCAGTATTGTCTTCGGTACGCCGTGGTCTGCAACAATGTGTCTAACTACTGCATCTGTCACGGTTCTTGCACGTTGGTCTGGGATTGCTACGGCGTCTACCCATCGTGTCGCGTGTTCCGTCATCACCAAGAGGTACTGATTACCATTGGATGTCTGAGGAAATGGACCCATGACATCTACGGACCACAAGTCACCTATCGCGGTAACTGGAATCGACTGAAGTGGTGGTCGTATATACCGGTCACCTTTCATCAGCTGGCACCGTGGACATCCAAGTACGTATCTTGCTACGTCTTCTCTCATACCTGGCCAGTACATACTTTGTCTTAGGAGGTCGGTCGTTCTGGCCACGCCTGTATGCGCTAGCTGGTGACATTCTTCTATCATGTCGTGGCGCGACGATTGAGGTATGACAGCCAGCCAGCTTCCGTCGTTCTCTCGCCAGGTCAGAGTCCCGTAGGCATTCACTCTGAGTCGATCCCTCTGTCTGAGTAGTGTGGTTAGCTCCTTACTCGCCGTAGTTTGATCCACTTCTATTCCGTTGGTGATCACCTGTATTACTGTATTCAGCGTATCGTCCAACCTCTGCCTACGTGCAAGTCTTAGTGGGTCTTGTTCTACTGCATGCACTCCGTAAGCGACCTCGGGCAACTCAGACTCATCTTCTGGTCTCGATAACAAATCTGCCAAGACATTTTCACTTCCAGGAACGTGTGAGATCGTAAAATCGTACTCCTGAAGACGCAACATCCACCGTGACAACTTCCCCCGTGGGTCTCTCGCTGTCTTCAAAAATTGTAGCGGCTTATGATCAGTTTCGATGTGGAACCGCCGGCCGAGTAAATAAGGTCTCCATTTGTCGACTGCCCATACCATTGCTAAACATTCTTTCTCTATCGTTGAATACTTTCTCTCTGTGAGGGTCAAAACCCTACTGGCATACTCAACGATTCCCTCGTCCTGTCTTAGGACCGCACCTATAGCGTAGTCACTGGCATCTGTGCACACTGTGAACTGTCTTCCTGGCACAGGTAGTTTTAGCGTCATTTGTTGGTGGTCGAGCAGCTGTTTAATTCTGTCGAATGTCCTCTGCGATTCTTCCG